TCTCCCGTCTGAGGGATTTTTATAGTGTTTTTGTCCTGTTTCCATGGTTTTCATGTCATTTCCTGTTTTATTTTGAAAGGTACATCCCCTTGTTTGAGGCCTCTTGCTCTCCTCTGTGTGTCACATGTCTGCTTGTCTTCCCTGATCCCTGATTGTGTTCCCCTGGGGTTCCTTCCCTTGGGTTTAAATGGTCTACGTCTCTCTTTATCTTTATTTTTTATCTTTATCTGTGTTTCGTCTTTTGACCCAAACTCAGCGTGAACCTTGTCCTCAAACCAAACCTTGTGTTGACCCCTTCCTTGTTATTATATAACTTTGGTCATCCTCTTTTCAGAGTGAGTTTATTTTCTACTTTGTCCACAGTTTTGTTTAGTTCTGCCTCGTTAGAGTGATTGATATTTGATACTTTGTTTATAGCCTGGTCTGCCTCATTTTCAAGAGTGATTATTATTATTATTTTATACTTTGCTTTGCCACTCCATGCCAGTGCGCCTTTATTTCTATTAAAGTTTTTTTTTGCCAAGATCTCTGCGTCTGAGTCCGGCCTTGAGTTCCCACTTTTGACAATAAGACAGAAACCAGAGACGGCTGGACAGTCCTGTGGACCTCAGAGTCTCTCTCAGGAATGTCTAGGGACGTCCCGATCTAGCTTTTTTCACTTGCGATCTGATACCGATCCTGGCCTATCAGAGCATGTGTTAAAGTTGAAAGTTATTTATTCTACTTACTTAGTTGTCAGACTCATGTTGAACAGGGATTTACTCTGATAACAACCTAATGGTTAGGACACAGACCTGTGGGTTAGGAGATGCTAATGCTAATGCTAATGCTCGTGTGGGATCGGGCTTAAAAAAAGGAACTGGATCAGGAATCGGCATTTTCTCCTGCGGCCCATCGGATCCAGATATACGGATCGGGACAAGCCTAGCCCAGACTAATATTATGCGTGAGCCAGGCGGAAGAATCTGATCTATGTGACACTCCAAAGCAGGAAAACCAGGAAAAACCTGGGCACCAGCCCAGAAACCGGACCCGAACTGGACCAAAACTCCCCAAACTGGACCCAAACTCCCCAAACTCACCCCGTCTACTCCCAGAAGTAGCGCAGGTACCAAATGGTCTCATTCTTCAGCTGAGGGCCGAACAGGGGGTTGGCCTGGGCCAGGATGGCGACCAACCAGCTGAGCCAAGACAGAAGAGAGGTGGGGGGGGGTCAGCTCACAACTGTACAACAGTGGTACACAGTAAATAACAATTCCAACAAAGTAAATAACAGTTGCATTGCAAATCGGCTCAGAAAAGATGGAAAATCTCTAATGAAATTGCACTAATTGTACAGCCCCCCACCAGGATTCAGTCCTGCTCCCGCCATGAGGTGGGACCGCCCCCCACGGGGGCCCTAAACTTAGCAGAATTGATTGGATTGTGTTTACAAATTTCCCATACCGGGAATGTGAGGTGGCCCCGGAAAATGCGAAGCCGGCCTAGAATGAGGTTTTCCTTCAAATTCCGGACAGAAAACGCACATCTGGACCTTCTTCTCTTCTCCAGGTGTGGTGGAGCTAATCTGTAGGGCCCCCAACTCCCCCCTTGACCACCCCCCCACCCCTCCTGACAGGTGTGTATGCGGGGAAACGGTGGACTCACAACAGGTAGCAGCAGACGGCCGTGAGGATGAGGCTGGTGACGATCACGCTGTAGGAGAGAAAACACACACACACGCACACACACACACACACACACACACACACACACACACACACACACACACCCGTCACAACCTCGGCCTAAACGAGCCCCTCTCACGTCACGAGGACGCGGGATGCAGGGATGGATGACGCGCTCGCATCCCCGAACGCCGCGAGGGGGCCTGCGCGCGCACAGCCGCGCGTGAATCATCACGGATGCTGAGACGGGGCTTCAAAAACCACGGAAGCATCTTATCTTATCGTATCTTATCTTATCTTTAATTCCCCGGTTTGGGTACAAAATGGAAGGAAAAACGGTCCAGTTACGCGAAAAAACCCGACCCGGATCGGAGGTTCCGACCTTACCCGCGGTTGGGTCCTTTGGGCACCAGGAAGGGGGCCACCACCCCCACCAGCCCCCACAGCGTGGTGAAGCAGATCATGGGCAGGGCCAGCGAGTGGGACACCATGGCTTCGGGTCGGGATGTGTCTCTGGTCCGGTTCTCCTGCACCTCCACTAAGAAGCGGAGCGCATCAATGGCTGCTGAGGCTGGCCGTTTCTCCCCGAGGCCCCGCCCACGCGGGCCAGAGCCGCGTCTGATTGGTCATCAGCGATGACGCCGGGACGTCTCATTGGTCCGGCTAGATGCCTATCAGCCTTACCATGGGGGGTGGATAGACGCTTCCCAGCAGACGGACAGAGCTTTTAATCATGATTATCTTTTTCTTTTTTCTTTTTTTTAAAACACAACTCGTGTCATCTGCTCCGTGATAAATAAAAAAAGCCTTATTTTCATCTGACAAAAATATGATCGGTAGACAGATTCTGGCCAAGATCCATCAATATTTGATCAGGTCCTGTCTAAGCTCTTCCTCAGTTAAAGGGACCCTGAACGCAACGCTGTGTATTCTCTGTGTTAACAGAAAGCACATTCTCCCAGGTAATTAGTTAGATGAGAACATATTATTATTATCATCATTATACATAAGTCAGGACTGATATTTAAATTTATTTGAACGATTTAATGTGTTTTTAGACAAACTTTTTACTGACAATCCTGTATATTGTTCGCGAATAAACGTATTTTATTTATTTTATTTCATTTATTTATTTTCCATGTAAACTTATAATAATAGTATTCCTTTTGAGCTAAGCTAACTACTATTCATGGATGTGAGTTTTGAGTTTTGAGGATTTAAACTCCTTGAGATCGAGTGCAGTTCCGCTTCCGTCCACTAGGAGGCAGCATTGTCAAACAAGAAAAACCTTTTTAATACAGAAAACTGTGACCCAGAGGGTGGACAAACTCTGGTCCTCTTTCTTAATATAAAGACAGCCACACCAGTCAGTTTAAGATCATTTGCTCTACTTAGTTTTTCTACAGGCTTCATCGATGGGACTCAAGATGACAGAAAACAAAAAGGAAAACTGACAGGAGGCCCATGCCTGAGTTGTTGTGCAGACGTGGGCATCATGTGGTCTACCGGCTCACCCCGACAGGATGTTCAGTATCTCACACATCTCACACATCAGTATCTCACATCTGCTACTTCTTCTGTGTCTGTTGAAGCTTGCTTGATGTTTTTTTTCCCCTTTTCAGCATGAACTGTAACCTCCCTCTGTACAGTTTTCACACTTTTATGAGCTATTATGCAAACTCCTACAGAGAGTCATTTCTCCTTTTTCTAATTGGGGGTTTCCGTCCCCTGTTCTGTGAATTCACATTAATAATCTACAGAGAAAAGAAGGCAGCTGTTTTCCATCCACAGCTCAGACTGCCCTCCTTCATGTCTTTGAAGAAGAGGCGAGTTCTGCCCTGAAATCTTCACCCCGATGTGACCGAACGGATGGGAGAGGAGCAGCCATGAATTTCCCTTCCACAGGATTTGTCGTCTTCCTTCTCTGCCTTCCAGGTAGCGTGCATCTCAGTTTCTTTCCTAAACAGATCTGCTGGTTGACAGGACTCTCCCCGTGTGAGGTTAGTGAGTCGCGTTTTGGAGGAACTAAGCGGCCGGAAGCCGGGGCTGTGGTGGAATTAGAATTAAAACTGTACTTGTTCTGGCGGCATGTGGCCCAGAATTACAATTGTCATTTCGTTAATTTTAGGAATATCATTATTAGATCAATCTAAAAGTAGTGTTCGAAAAGGAAGATGCTCAGAAGACCTGGTTACTTACACGAATAAGCCTTAGAAATGCCTTTTTTCCTATAACTTCCCTTCAGCATCTAGAAAGCAGAAAGAAAAGCTACCTAACAAATCAGATGATTTTGGGTTCCTTAACAAATTACCACACAGAGACACTAAAACACTTTGACTTGTTATGCATTCAAAGCTACGTTCACTTATTCTCCAGTGCTGTGGAATGAACCAGAATTGACTTGGAGTTACCAGACGATGTAAATAGGTGTTAGAAGACAGAAACAGAAACACAGGGAGAGCAGGATGCTTCTTTCTGAGGATATCCGGAGGACCTGAGGAGCTCTGATGTGCTCCTTGTTACAGCCATGCAGAGTGAGGAGGGTTGGAGATTGACCTACGGCCCCCCTCACAACATCTGTGCTGCAAAGGGGTCCACGGTGGAGATCCGCTGCTCTGTATCCCCGACGCTCGGAGAAAACGTCACGGGGATCAGAGTGTTCTGGTTCGCCCAATCGGCCCTGGGGGCCGTGGACCTGACCACGCGGCCGGAGTACGCGGGCCGCGTGCAGTACGGCCGGGACGGGGACGCGTTCACTCTGAGGGTCTGGGACCTGAGGGTCAGCGACTCGGCCGAGTACAGGCTCGGCCTCACAACGAACCCGCCGCGGGCCGGGGTCACCGGCACTACAGGAGTCCAACTGAGCGTCACAGGTAGCCGCGCATGGATGCTTTTAAAGCAACGAGATCAGGAAATGTGTCTCTGACAACATTTTGGCTGCACGTTTATGTCTCTTCCTCACAGACCAAGCAGAAGTGCAGAAAAAAGGGCAGTACCTGGAGTGTCACAGCAAGTGTCCTTATTTTGCTTCTCTGACATATGTCTGGTACAAAAATGGGCATAAAGTTGATGTCAGTACATTTTCATGCAGAAAATCCCTCATTAGTTCATCAGACAGCGTGTCCTGTGCTGTCAGAGGAATGGAGGACCTCCGTCCACCTTCAGTCTGTGAGTCTCTTTGTGTTTCACCTGCACCTACAGTGTCATGATGCATAAATCAGAGCAAAAGAAGCTGTTCTAATCCACATTTGTCATCTTTCAGGTGTGGAGAGCAAATACTGTCACAGAGTGTTTTACCCCAATAGAAAAATCTGTGCATTCAAAGGCTCCTCTGTGAGCATTTCCTGCATCCACACCTATCCCTGGAGCGGTTACAACAAATTGTGGTTCCGCCGTGCTCACAGTCATCAGACATCAGCTCCCTCCCAACCTACGGACCTGAAAAAGGACCCCAACTATTCCGGCCGTGTTGAAGTGGAAAGCTCCGACTCATCATCCGCTCTGACAATAAAAGATCTGAAGGACAGCGATTCAGCCGAATATTACTTCACTTACAGCACACCGTGGGCCACTTGGGGGAGTGATCTACGGGGAACCACTCTGACAGTGGCAGGTGCATTCATGGCGTCTCCGCCCAGAGGGTTTTTGGGGTGTTTTGTCGTGTCCCGGTCTCGTCATTTCCTGTTTTATTTTGAAAAGTCCGTCCCCTCTCGTTTCAGGTCGCTTGCGCTTCCCTGTGTGTCGCCTGTCAGACTGTGTTCACCTGGGGTTCGAGTCCCTTCACGTGTTTAAATAGTCTGCGTTTCCGATTGTACGTGTGTTTCGTCCTATCGACCTTTGACCTTTGAGCTTAACCATCCCATAGAATTCCTTGTCTTGAGTTTTTCCTCGATAGAGTTAATATTATTTTGCACTTTCATAGTTTTCCATCCTCGTTTTTGAGTGGTCATTTGGTTCTTTGTCCATGGTTTTGTTCTTCTCGTATGAGAGATTATTATTTAGTACTTTTCATAGCCTTTGCTTCCCGTCCCTGTGAGTGCGTCCTTGTTTAATAAAGTCCTCGTTTTTGCTGAAACCATTGATCTGAGTCCTGCGTCGTGTCCCAGCTCTGCAGGTGCGGCTGATGGCCGTCCACGTCTCCGAAGGTTACACTTTTGCTCAGCTGAAGTGCGACAGCAGCTGCAGCCCCGCCGACCCGCACTCCTTCATCTGGTTCAACGATGACCGGAGGATCCAGGGGGAGACGTCCGCCCACCTAAACCTGCTCTATCTTGGAGGCAGAATCTCCTGCGCCGCCGATGGATCTGAGAAGCACAGAGCTCCAGCGGTGTGTGAGTTTCCTGCACTGTGGAGAGGCTGAATACGTGGGGCAGTAGGGAGGTCATTAACAGCTGTGTTGTTGCTTAAAAAAAAACAAGCTTCTGGCAGAACAAAAGCCAATGGAAAGGTTTAGTTCCCCTCCCAGTCGTGTGTGCCGAAATGTGTTAAGTCAGCTGTGACTGCTGGTTTCAACTTCTGCTTTTACTGTTTCATATTCAGTCAAACCTGAGTTCCTCAAAAAGGACCGATGCATAGACTTGTTTTGGCTTTGGAGGCTTTGATTGAAATGTTCAATAGTTTTTAGGATTCACTGAATCCACGAGTGAGTCCCTTTTTGCTAGGTTAGCTGCCGTTTACAGACAAAAACCGATGCTTCTTCCTCAGATGCTCCAGACTCCCCTTTTGTGTCGGTGAATGTCTCGGGGGACATCGTGGCGGGCGACGTGGTAACCCTGACCTGCACCACTGACGCTAACCCAGCAGCTGCATACAGCTGGAACAAGAGGAACAAGAGCTGCGAGCTTCAGCCTCCCAGTGCGGACCCCCGGCTCGTCTTCCCCTCCATCCGTCCCTCCGACTCCGGAGAGTACTACTGCACGGCCCAGAACAAGCTGGGCAGGAGGGCATCTGGATACGTGCTTGTTGATGTAAAATGTGAGTAGAACGGCTAACCTCACCAAACAAACGTTGTAGTTCCTAAAAATGAAAGCGATTTCCTGTTGAGTGTTTCACAACCTGAACTGGGTTTACTGTCACAGATGCCAAATCTGACAGCGTGACACAGCTGTGTCTTCTAAACTATTTACATAGTCGCCTCAGGAAGTCCTGCATGAGAAAAAAATTCAAGTTTTCTTCTCATTTCCACTCAGATGGGAAAAGAGAGGAAAATTCCCAAAGTCTCCCTCTGTGTCAGAGAGACCCAGATGAGACAGTAAAGGGCTGCTCAGTGAGTCTGGACTCTGAAAGTAATGTTTGTCCAAAGGCTTTTTACACCTGGTACAAGCACCAAAGCCTTTTAGGACCAAAAGGCATTGGTCATCTTGCCTCCAGCAGTTTGGAGGACAGTGGTACACATCAACTCCCAGAAATTGCTGGACCTTTTTGCAATAACTTTAGCCAGGTTTGCATCCTCGCCATGGCTATAAGGAAACCATGGAAACCAGGACTCCTTCAGCTTTTACACACAATTTGTTCTCCAACAAATGCTGGAGAACATGGGAGTCTGATGGCTCAGAACGTCTGTAAGTACACCGTTAATCCCAGATTAGAAGACTCCGGGAGCAATGGTTCACCCAAATGGCAAAACCAAATATTCACAATGCAAGGTGAGTTTGAACCTGTCTTCTCAAACACAAACCAGATGATAGGCGTTTCTCAAATCTAACTTGGAAAAGATCATGGCCCACACAGGTCAAAAACTGATGACAGGGTTGGTAGAGGGCTCTGGTTTTTAATGGTGGTTGCAGAACAGGAGAGACATCATACCCCAGCTGGACTTGAAGAGGGAAGAAGTCCAGACACTTTTACAAATCCATGTACTCAGCAGAGTTCGCTCAACCAGTCCACATGTGTTTTGTGGACTTGGAGAAGGCGTTCAACCGTGTCCCTCGGGGTGTCCTGTGGGGGGTGCTCCGGGAGTATGGGGTACCTGGCCCTTTGTTACGGGCTGTTCGGTCCCTGTACGACTGGAGTCAGAGTTTGGTTCGCATTGCCGGTAGTAAGTCGGATCCGTTTCCGGTGGGAGTAGGGCTCCGCCAAGGTTGCCCTATGTCTCCGGTCCTGTTCATAACTTTTATGGACAGGATTTCTAGGCGCAGCCGAGGTGTTGAGGGTGTCAGTCTTGGTGGCCTTAGGATCACATATCTGCTATTTGCAGATCATGTGGTCATGTTGGCTTCATCAAGTCGGGAACTACAGCTCTCGCTGGAGCAGTTCGCAGCCGAGTGCGAAGCGGCTGGGATGAGGATCAGTGCCTCCAAGTCCGAGACCATGGTCTCTCACCGGAAAAGGGTAGAGTGCCTTCTCTGGGTCGGAGCGGACGTCCTTCCCCAAGTGGAGGAGTTCAAGTATCTCGGGGTCTTGTTCGCGAATGGGGGTAGGGAGCGTGAGATCGATAGGCGGATCGGTGCGGCGTCTGCAGTAATGCGTGCGCTGTACCGGTCTGTCGTGATGAAGAAAGACCTGAGCTTAAAGGCAAAGCTCTCGATTCATTGGTCGATCTACGTTCCCACCCTCGTCTATGGTCACGAACTTTGGGTAGTGACTGAAAGAATGAGATCGCGGATACAAGCGGACAAAATGAGTTTCCTCCGCAGGGTGGCTGGGCTCTCCCTTAGAGATAGGGTGAGAAGCTCGGCCATCCGGAAGGGGCTCTGAGTAGAGCCGCTGCTCCTCCAGGTTAAGAGGAGCCAGTTGAGGTGGCTCGTGCATCTGATCAGGATGCCTCCTGGTCGCCTCCCCGGTGAGGTGTTCCGGGCTTGTCCCACCGGGAGGAGGCCCAGAGGAAGACCCAGGACACGCTGGAGGGACTATGTGTCCCGGCTGGCCTGGGAACACTTCGGGATCCCCCCGGAGGAGCTGGCAGAAGTGGCCGGGGAGAGGGAAGTCTAGGTCTCCCTGCTCCGGCTGCTGCCCCCACGATCCGACCCCGGATAAGCGGAGGATAATGGATGGATGGATGTACTCAGTTATGGCTTTTCAGGGCCAGATTGTTGCATACAACCTGCCCTGGGATCCGGTCAATGCGTTAATCATGTGGTCAGCGAGGCCGACGACCAAGAGCACAAACACAGCCCCCCCCACAAACCCCCCAGCAGTCAGAAGCCCTTTCCAAGTCTCCAGAACACATGGACTGGACATCCAAGCTCCTGTCATCCCAACAGTAACTCTGGAAGGGAAAAGATCTGACCCACCACCTGAGACCTCCTGAATCCCAGGTTTTGGACTATGTCCACAGTGGTTATGAGAACACATCGGCTGATTTCCGCTCATATTGTGGGACTCACTGATGCATCGTAACACTCCTGGAGGGTTCACATCTTCTTTTTTTCCCTAGATGCTCCCAGGCCCCCCTCTGTGTCAGCCAGCCCCTGTGCACAGATAGTGGAGGGCGGCTCAGTCAATCTGAGCTGCAGCAGCGATGCTAACCCAGCTGCTAACTATTCCTGGTACAAGGAGGGGGAGGACTCACCGGAAGTCTCGGGCCAGACGCTCACCATTGTCAATGCCGGTCTAAAACACGGCGGGACTTACTACTGTGAGGCCCACAACGGCAGAGGGCGTCAAAGATCTGGCTTACATCTGGTCATCGTCTCAAGTAAGTGGTTCTTAGTCTTTCAAAACATCAGTGAGAGACGGTCGTGACGAGGCTTCCACAGTATCAGGTCAGAGGTGACATATCAGCTTGGATAGCCGAGCTTCTTCCACACATGTTGGAGTTTTGCAAACCCGTTCTGTTCTGTATGGAGTTCTGTATCTCTATGTTGGTAAAACAAAGTAAGAGACTTTCTGAACCACAGTTCCAGGCTCCATGCACTCCGCTGTTTCTGGCTCCATCACGGTTGTGTTTCTGGCTGCTGCCGGACTACTTGCCTTCATATTTTGGAGGTGAGGAGTTTGATGGCGCTGTGGGAATTGAGCTTTTATTCAGCCACCTACTCAACGGCTTCACGTTTCCCTCTTTTCTTGTTTTTTGCCAAAGGAGACGGACTTCGAACAAGCCCTCGGAGGCAGGAGACAGTGCACAGGTGAGAGGGGAAAGGGTCAGCTCTCTGTCCCGTCTCATTGGGTCATCCATCCATTAATACTCAACCCATCCATCCATCTATTCATCCATCCATCAATACTCTACCAATCCATCCATCTATTCATCCATCCATCAATACTCTACCAATCCATCCATCTATACATCCATCCATCAATACTTTACCAATCCATCCATCTATTCATCCATCCATCAATACTCTACCCATCCATCCGTCTATTCATCCATCCATCAATACTCTACCCATCCATCCATCCATCCATCCATCCATCCATCCATCCATCCATCCATCCATCCATCCATCCATCCATCCATCCATCCATCTATTCATCCATCTATCAATACCCAACCCTTCCATCCATCAATTCGTCCTCTATCCATCCATCTGTCAATACTCTATCCATCCATCAATTGGGCGATGAGTGTAGATATTGTGCTATTTTTCGTATGTATGCAGTGTGTATGGAAAAATTTGTAGTCAGAGGCAGCGATTCAAAACTCTGGTCAGGACCCAGTGGGCATGCCTAAGCTGGTGGTTGGCGGCTCTGTAACTGAGACAAGGCTTCCTGCAAATACCCTCGGTAGCAGGAAGTGGGTTTGGCAGGTTCCCCTTGCTCTGAGTAAGGCAGCAGTAGAGCTGCTGTAGTAGACCAGGACTGAGGAGGACAGGTGGTTCTTCATCAGAGTCCACTGGAAGGAGAAGTGCTGGTTGGGGAAGCTGGTCGACTAGGAGAGAACCGGGGATATGTGGACCCCCAGGATGTTGACGTGGATGTTAGCTAGCTCATCCTCTGAAGTCCACTGCGTACATTCGAGGCCTCCTCAGGATGTTTAACACATACCCATCCCACATTCCTGACTGACCAGGGACATTTCTGACCTCCAGGCTCTATCCAATATTTGCTAATCAGATAGTTGCTTTCCAGGAAACTGTTGCTGTGTCGGCCGCTGCTCCCGGCAGGCCGGCGGAGGGACAGGACAGCCTCCCCTTCGCCTCCGCGCAGTTCCACAACAACCAGGAAGACTCTCTCTACTCGAACGTGGTGCTGGATCAACAGAGGAGGCAGAAGCCAAAAGAGGGGGAGGTGGTGTACTCGCTGGTCAACTTTGACAGGTGAGCTGCACGTGCCGGGGAAAACGCTCCAACGTCGTCGCCCTCCCCTTCCACAAACTGTCTCTGGTGTTTTGTCTCTGCAGGCCACGCCGACAGTCTTCAGAGGACCCGTCCGCCCTGTACAGCACCGTGACCACAGCTTGATGCTTTTGTAGTGTCCAAAGCTCACAGTGAAGCACAGACTGTTCTGTTCGTAGAGCATAAACATTTGTGTGGGGAGAATGCTCAAGCTATGGAGACCGCCTGGCAGAGTGTCATGTGGGGTGGTTCATGGAGGGAGGACTCAGGTGCGGAGATGACGGAAAACAAGGTTTATTGTAACAAAAAACCAGAGTGAATGTCCAGACCAAATCAAAGCTGTGGAAAACTGTGAGCAAAGGCAATGTAACAACATAAAGAATAACAAGACTGAGGCAAAAACTATGACTTTGACAAAGTGACAAAATAAAGATTAACAAAACTGTGGCAAAAACTGTGACTATGACAAAAAACAAACCTGGCGTGGGGGTGACGAAGGACAAGACGGACAAGAACGCACTCGCACAAGACAAGGGGAAACGAGGACTATTTAAACACATGAGGGAGGGGAACCCCAGGTGTACACAATAGGTAATCAAGACAAAACGAGACACCAGACGTGACACAGAGGACATAAAAAGGAGATGTTCATGGTATGGAAAAGGTATACCCTAGCTGTCCGTCTGGAGGGAGAGGACCAAAAAAAGAAAAGGTTTTTGATATGGATAAAACCATATTCGGGCTGCACGCCTGGATGCAAACAGCCTGATGTAAGACAAAAAAAACAGATACGGGATACCAAATATAAGGGCAGACACACCCAGAGTGGGACAGAGTTTTCTCTGAGACCTCTCCAGACTTGATGCATCAATCTGTACTTCTGACTCGGACCTGTCTGACAATAAAATCCTCTTTTGTTGGACCAAGTTCTGCCTCAGCAGAGTTTTTCCTGCAGCACCTTCACTCGAGCTATTTGAAGACCATCATCCCATAATTCACCACACTTTTCCGATCGAATGTGTGGGAGGTAGTTTGGCAGACCAATAAAAGGCTGAGGCGGGGCCACTGCCAGGAGGTTTGTGAGGTGTGACGGCTCTCTGTCCTGGCTTCCCACACATATTTCATCCGCTTTTGACTTCATTATACAGTCCAAACTGGAAATGGTCTAATCTTTACATGAATACTTCCAGTGCAGCTTGTCCTCCTTGGCCTTTTCTGACAGAAGGACATTACCATCAGCAGAAGACTGCCACCATCTGTCAGTTACATGAACTTACACACACCACCTTTTATTTTAAACAAAACAGAACAAAAAAACTAGGTCCTGTTCAGCATTGTGGCAGCAGAAACTGAAATCTGAGTACCGTGCCATGCTGAACACATTTGCTTTGCCAAGGGAGGATTTGTTAGTAAGAAGTCCCCCTTGATTACCCAAAACTGCTTTATTTATTCATTTTTGTTACCAAACTTTACAAGTAATGTCGAGCCACACACAAACAAACACACACACCGATAAATGTCCACAAACAGGAGAGTGAGGGATCTCTTGTCTACGTTTCCGTGGTGGTTATGGCGGTCAGGACGGGCTCCGACTCTGCCCTCCGTCTGGTCCACAGCAGGGCCAGGCCCGCCTCCCTGAAGGTCTGGTGGCAGCAGTAGATGAGAGGGTTCACCCCACAGTCCAAATAGGACATCACAGACGACAGCGTCCTCAGCCAATTAGGAGCCGGGGCCAGGTCCAGGCTCCCCAACAGGACGAGCTGATTGGTGAAAGGTGAAGAAGAGGTGACCCATCAGTTCAAGCTGTCTGGTGTCTGACCATTCACCAAGAAATTCAGAAATATTATCAGCCTATTTTTTATTTGATTAATTATTTGATTAATTTTATAAATAATTGTATAAATGTATTAATTACCCCGCGACCCCATCAGGGAATAAGCGGTATTGATAATGGATGGATGGATGGATGTATTAAATATAATAATAATAATAATAATAATAATAATAATAATAATAATAATAATCATAATAATAATCATAATAATAATCATAATGATAATCATAATAATCATAATAATAATAATAACAATATGAATATTTTTTATAATAATAACAATAATAATAATCTTTCTTTTTAAATTATTATTATTGTTATTATTATTCATTATATCTGATTAGATTTTTTATTAATCAGCAGAAAAATGAAAAAAGTTTGACTAGTACTCTGAATGTACACCCAGCAATGATTGTGAGCAAAACATTTCTTTAATTTCACAAAAGTCTTTGAGAGGAGCTATGAAAGATATAATTAAACGAAAGGAGCTCAGCTATGCAGAGCTTAATAAAGCTATTATTACCCCTATTACCCCTTTTTAGAAGAAAAAATAAATATCTTGTCATATTTGTACTTTTAAAAGCTTCCAAAAAGCCGTTTAAACTACAAAAATTTTGTTATTTGATAGACAGGGTTACAAATAGAAGCAGCTAAAGGTTCATTTTCCTCTCAGAATCAGCTCAAACTTCATCTCTCTGCTCTTGATAACAGCTTCCATCCTTCCTCTGCTTGTTTTCTCTCTCCTTTCTGACAGTTTATGTTGTTATTGAGTCCCACAGAGATTCCAGCAGTTTTACTGGCGGTTGAAATAATGTATTTAAGTACAGTCCATACTGGAAGTGGCTCGTGTGTTGTTTTGCACGTACCTCCGAAACAAAAAAGGGTGTGTAGCAGACCATGTAGGAGGCCACCAGCAGAGGAGCCACGTCAGACAGATCTGCTTCGGCCTCCCTGTGACAAACAAGAAACAACATGAGGAGACGATTTAGCTCTGTTAGCGTAGCCCAGTTTGTGCATATCAATGTCTACTTAAAGATAAAGAACAGATTTTTCATTAGGGATTAGATCATGTTGGTTATATTTTGGATGGTCATAATAACTGCTAGCAACCAGGAAATGATTCTTCCTTGAGGCTGGGGGCCATGAAGACTGTTTTTTAACTTTTGAAATAATAATAATCCAATAAGTCTGTCAATTAAAAATGTTGTTTAAATGGCTCATTGTAAAATGTGATAGAAATATAAAGCCTTAACCCTTTCATCCATAAATTATGATCATTTCAGTCAAGATTTTTTCCCCCTCAATGTTTTTGATTTTCTTAAGGCCAAAAAATTTAATTTTTTTGTGTTTATTAAAGGATTTTTCCAGGTGTCCACTCAAGTGGACAACATGGGTTTTATAATTAATTACTAATGAAATACTGAATGTTACAATGTGAACATATTTTGATTTTTAACAGAATGCATAAACACAACTTTGCATGCAACTCTCATCTTGTTCTAATATTGACAACCATATCATCCTTTTTCTCTTTTTATTTTGGTCTATCTTGGCTCCTCTTTAACAGGATATTATTCGGAGCCCGTCCTGACCGCATTTTTATTTTTTTTATTGCATGATGCACCAGTGTCCATTTCAGTGGAAATGAATGTGTGCCATGGAGAAAAAGTTAGCTGCCAACGATTTGAAAAGTTGAATCTTTATGATTCTTAATGGAAAAGGAAAGAATAAAACGGGATGGCTTCTTATTGTGACTTGAGGGTTTGATTAAATGGTGGTTGGATCACTCTCCAGAAGGAGAGGCCAAAGGATGGAGACGGGAAAAGTTTTCCGAACACGCTTTATTCCGTCTTTTTTCCAACTTTGGAGAGAACACACACACTTCCTTGTTTTTGTCACATGACTAAAACAAAACCAACGAGAATCTAAACTAAGGCAAATCTTAATGTCCCAAAGATGTAGTCGTGAATTAATTAGATTGCAGGCGTACCTGTTTCCCCGGAGGCCTCCGGCGGCTGTTATCGCAGAGCAGGCGAAGATGAGGAGGAAGGGGAGGAAGATGCAGAGGGAGAACGCGCAGAGGATGTAGGTCAGCATGTCGGAGTAGCTGTTCTCCCAGAACACGGCGCACAGCATCTCCGCCGGGTCGTACCTGAGGAATGGAAGAGCCTATGAGCCACCTCATAGGCTCCGCCCCCCCCCCCACCGACGACCACGACCGCGTACCTGATCCAGGCGTAGACGACGGGGACGCTCCCGAACACCACCCCGGTCAACCAGGAGGCCGAACAGGCCGTCGCCATGACGACAAAGACGGGGCTCTTGGCGGAAGATGGGCCCATCGCGCGCTGGACGCAGAGGATAGCTGCGAGGGGGAGAGGAATAGTCCAGTTAGGGCTCAGAACCAGGCAGGAAGTCCACCGGTCAGGAGCCTGGCCAGTTAATTATCTGATATAATTTACTAACACAAAGCGCCCAGGCCTTACTAAGCAAGAAAAAACAAGGATTTCTATCCAGGAGGACGGATGTAGCACAAAGATTAGGTTAAGCCGAGGTGATGAAGAAGGAAAAAATGGCCAATTTTGTGTGTTAAACACCAATATCTGCCCCATTTAAAGGGTTTCTGTCCAGGTTTGTGTCCCACAGGTCACATAATTAGTCTGAGTTTGAGTGGAAAGAATGAATGCCTTTTAATATAAGATCTGCCCAGACCGTAGAGGTTTTTAAGTCCTCTTTAAAAACTCATTTTTGTGACATGGCTTTTAACATTTTAACCTTAGGTTGAGGTAGAGCACCTTTTTACCTTTTAAATTTTTTTTTTTTAACCTTTTTACCTCTTTATTTTACATTAAAATTGCATATATGTATGTAAATTATGCTAGCTTTTTATGTTTATTTTTACCTGTACAGCACTTTGGCATCTTATTTATTGTCTGACTTATTTTAAATGTGCTTTATAAATAAAATTTGACTTGACTTTTTACTTTAAAATTAAGGGGTTTTGAAAGGCCCCTTTTGACCCCTTTTGTGGAAACAGCTTCTAAAGCTCCATGCAGAACCAAACGTGGATAAACTATATCATGGTTTTCTCTTTTATTGGAATAGAGCTGCTGTTTTTGAAGTTTAACTGACACTGAATTTTGGGCCCTGTCTTTTTTTTAAATGTATTTTTCCCGGTTCCCGATTGGCGTTGTGCTTTTGGGCCATCGTGGGCCTCAGTGTCCACTGCGTTTTTCCACTCTGGTCATTCACTCACTTGACCGGATCCTTCCCTATCATCTTTCCTCATCTCTTCGCATCATCCAATCCTGTCCCCCCCCCACTTTCCTGCTGTGTGTGAGTAGTTCTACGATACCTATGCTGCCTATAGATGAGGTGATGAAGGCAAACTTCAGCAGGCTGACCGCCTCGCACCACGGCGAGCTCTGTCCCTCTGCGATGGTGGCCAGCATGGAGCCGGAGGTGATGAGGAGGGAGCAGCCTGGACAACACGGGGGAGGTTTCACGTCAAAATACCACCATCGACTGAATTGCGAAAATGGTGGAGAAACGCCTAAATCGTTCGGTGACGTGGGGTTTGTGGAGGCTGTACCTAAATCCGACAGGCTGAGACTGAAGAAAGGGAGCCAGTAACGGCAGCGGAACTGACCCCGGCACTGAAAGACAAAGACAAGAAAGAAGTCAATGCTCAAAAGCCCGTTGAGGCAAAAAGCACTTCAACTTTGAGCTTTTTCTGGATATTTGGTGATGGACTGTTCACCCTCTTCCTCCTTTCCTCCAATCCAGCTGACTTAAAATGACTTACCATGATGTGTGACGAGTATTTTCTGAGTATGTCAGCTCTCCAAAGGCTGCAGCTAGATCCAGCCAATGGGAGGTCGGTGTCTAAAGACGTCTATTTAGTCTGTTGTTTTAATTGGCAATATGCAAAAGAAAAACTACGTCCAAAAGCCAACTGTGGTTTCACAGAGAGGGCTTCCCATGTTGGCCCCATGGGTTTGGACTACAACATACACTGGTGGCTACACACACAGCTAAATGAAAATAAACATGGCTTTTGCGTGTTGATGTAGAAGTGGAACCAAATGGACTTTTACCCAGTTCACATCATGAAAACCGGAAGAGAGGCTATTTATTTATTTACTTATTTATTTATTTATTTATTTATTTATTTATTTATTTGTTTGTTTATTTGTTCATTTATTCATTTATTCATTTATTCATTTATTCATTTATTCATTTATTCATTTATT